GCATCCCCAAACCTCTATGTGGGGACCAAGGAGGTAAATCCCTCCCCACTGTAAGGGCAGAGCAAGTCCGACAGTGCCTCCTTAGACTGAATGAATACAAGTCTATGGGGCCGGATGGCTGCATCCCAGGGTCCTGAAGGAGCTGGCTGAGGTGGTTGCCGAGCCGCTCTCCATCATATTTGAGAAGTCGTGGCTGTCAGGTGAGGTCCCGGGTGACTGGAGGAAGGGTCACGTCACTCCCATATACAAGAAGGGGAGCAGGGAGGACCTGGGGAACTACAGGCCGGTGAGTCTCACCTCCGTGCCTGGGAAGATCGTGGAACAGATCCTCCTGGACAACATCTTGATCACATAAAGAAGGAGCATGTGATCCGAGACAGCCAGCACGGCTTCACCAAGGGAAGGTCATGCCTAACTAATCTTGTGGCCTTCTATGATGGAGTGACGGCATTGGTGGACGAAGGGAAGGCGACCGATGTCATTTACCTGGACCTGAGCAAGGCCTTTGACATGGTCCTCCACCACATCCTCATCTCCAAATTGGAGGGAAGTGGATGTGATGGGTGGACGACCCGATGGATAAGCAATTGGTTGAAAGGCCGCAGACAGAGGGTGGTGGTCAATGGCTCTGTGTCCAGGTGGAGGCCGGTAACAAGTGGTGTCCCCCAAGGGTCTGTCTTGGGACCGGTGCTCTTTAACATCTTTATTAATGACATCGATGAGGGAATTGAGTGCACCCTCAGCAAGTTTGCTGACGACACCAAGCTGAGTGGTGCGGTTGATACGGTGGAAGGAAGGGATGCCATTCAGAGGGACCTCGACAGGCTGGAGGGCTGGGCTCGGGTGAACCTAATGAGGTTCAACACGGCAAAGTGCAAGGTTTTGCATTTGGGCCGGAAGAACCCCAGGCACCCGTACAGGCTGGGAGGAGTGGTCCTTGAGAGCAGCTCGGCAGAGAAGGACCTCGGGGTCCTGATGGACGAGAGACTGAACATGAGCCAGCAGTGCGCTCTGGCAGCTCGAAAGGCAAATGGGATCCTGGGCTCCATCAGGAGAGGGGTGGTCAGCAGGGACAGGGAGGTGATCGTCCCTCTCTACTCGGCTCTTGTGAGGCCCCATCTGGAGTCCTGTGTCCAGGTGTGGAGCCCTCAGTACAAGAAAGACATTGAGATCTTGGAAAGGGTCCAGAGGAGGGCGACTAAGATGATCAGGGGGCTGGAGCACCTCCCCTATGAGGACAGGCTGAGGGAATTGGGCTTGTTCAGCCTGGAGAAGAGAAGGCTGCGGGGTGACCTCATTGCAGCCTATCAATACCTGAAGGGAACTTACACCCAGGAGGGGAGTAAACTCTTCAGAAGTGCTGACAACAGCAGGACTAGGGGAAATGGATCCAAGTTGAAGGAGGGAAGATTTAGGTTGGATGTTAGGGGGAAGTTCTTCACAAGGAGAGTAGTTAGGCCCTGGAACGGGCTGCCCAGGGAGGTTGTGGATGCCCCGTCCTTGGACGTGTTCAAGGCCAGGTTGGACGTGGTCCTGGGCAACCTGATCTAAATGTGTATGTTTGGTGGCCCTGCTAGGCAGGGGGGTTGGAACTACATGATCCTTGAGGTCCCTTCCAACCCGGGTGATTCTGTGATTCTGTGATTCTGTGATCTGTGATCTGTGTTTGAGGTGACCATCCTCGTCAGGTAATGGAGTGATTTTATATCCAGTCCTCCTATTGCTGTTAATATATTTTTAATAGCATTAACAATGCTCATCTTGTTTAATATCTTTACTGATGACCTAGATGAGGGCATTGAGTAAGTTTGCAGATGACAGCAAGCTGGGAGGTGGTGTTGATCTGCCAGAGGGTAGGGAGGACCTTCAGAGGGATTTAGACAGGCTGGATTGCTGGGCTGAGGTGAATGGGATGAGGTTCAACAAGGCCAAGTGTTGGGTCCTGCACTTTGGGCACAATAAACCCATGCAGCGCTATGGGCCTGGGGATGAGTGGCTGGATGAGTGTGAAGAGGAAAGGGACCTGGGGGTGTTGGTTGGTGCTCGGCTGAACATGAGCCGACAGTGTGCCCAGGTGGCCAAGAGGGCCAACGGCATCCTGGCCTGCATTAGAAATGGTGTGGCCAGCAGGAGCAGGGAGGTGAGCATCCCCTGTACTCAGCACTGGTGAGGCTGCACCTCGAGTGCTGTGTTCAGTTTTGGGTCTCTCACTACAGGAAGGACACTGAGGCCCTGGAACGTGTCCAGAGAAGGGCAACGAAACTGGTGAGGGGTCTGGAGCACAAGTTTTATGAGGAGCGGCTGCAGGAGCTGGCATTGTTCAGTTTGGAGAAAAGGAGGCTCAGGGGAGACCTCACTGCACTCTGCAACTTCCTGAAGGGAGGCTGTGTGATGAAGAGGGGTTTGGCCTCTTCTCCAGGCAACAAACAGGACCCGGGGAAATGACCACAAGTTGGGGTGATTTAGATTAGATATAAGGAAAACCTTTTTCTCCCAAAGAGTAGTCAGGCACCAGAATAGCCTGCTCAGGGAGGTGGTGGAGCCACCATTCCAGGCAGTGTTCAAGAGGCATCTGGATGAAGTGCTACGACATGTGGTTTAGTAGCTTAGTGGTAGTAAGGACAGTTGGACTAGATGATCTTGTAGGTCCTTTCCAACCTTGTGATTCTATGATTCTAAGATGTGGCTATTAGTCCTGTTTGTGTATTGAACCTGACTGATTTATTAAAGTTTCCTTGCTTGATCATCCCTCTTCCTTTCATGAATCGCATAATAACAATGGACCTCTGGAGATTATCTACTCCAACTCCCTCCTTTGAAAGCAAGTTCTCTGGAGTAGAATGCACAGAAAAGCATCCAGGTGGGTTCTTAATATCTTCAGAAGAGGACACTCTTGACAGCTTGTTACAGTGTTCTGTCATTCTCACAGAAGTTTTTTCCTCATTTTCAGATGGAACTCCCTGTCTTCCAGTTTGCGTCCATTGCCTCTTGTCCTTTTGCTGAGCACCACAGAAAACAGCCTGGACCCATCCACCTGACATCCACCCTTTAGATATTCCTAAGTGCTGATAAGATCCCACCTCAATCTCCTCTTTTCCAGGCTAAACAGTCTCAGCTTTCTGAACCTTTCCTCATAAAGAAGATGATCCAGGCCCATAATCATCCTTGTAGCTCTTGGCTGGACTTTCTTGAGTAGTTCCCTATCTTTCTTGAAGCGAGGAGCCTAGTCTTGGATACAGTACTCCAGATGTAGCCTCATAAGGACAGAGTAGATGGAGAGGATCATCTCTCTGGACGCGCTGTCCACTCTTTTTTTGATTCACCCCAGAATATCACTGGCCTTCTTGGACACAAGGGCACACTGCTGGCTTATGGATAACCTTACCTACTGGGACACCTACTCCACAGGGCTCACCTCTAGCAGGTCATATCCTAACTGGTACTGATGCATGCAGTTATTCCTTCCCAGGTGAAGGACCCTACCCTTGCCCTTGTTACTTCTCATCAGGTTTCTCTCTGCCCAACTCTTCAGCCTATTCAGGTGTTACTGAATAACAGCACAGCCTTCTAGTGTGACAGCTGCTCCTCCCAGCTTTGTACCATCAGCAAACTTGCTGAGGGTGGACTGTATGCCTTCACACAGATCGTTGGTGAAGATGCTGAACAAGACTTGACCCAGTACCAACCCCTGGGAAACACTGCTAGCTACAGACCTCCAAATAGATTCTGCACCACTGACAACGACCCTTCAAGTTCTGCCAGTTTCCAGTCTCACTCTCCACTCATCTATCCTACACTTCCTAAGGTTACCTGTGAGGATGCTATAGGAGACAGTATCAATAGCCTTGCTGAAGTCAAAGCAGGTAACACTGCTGCTCTTTTCTAACCTACCCAGCTCCTCATGACATCATAGAAGGCTGGCAGACTGTTCAAGCATGATTTCCCCTCGGTGAGTCCACATTGATTGCGGATGGTGAAGCACAAATAAATTTGTCCACATTCAATCACAATCAAATTTGGGTAATTCTGATTCTGCACATTTTTTCTAAGAGTGATGCTACTAAAAGAGAACATCGGTCTTAGCATGGGTTGTGGTTAGTATGGGTTTCTATTAAAGAAACCGTATTATATTCTGAGCTGTGTGGACTGGGGAAAATTGAAGATGACATAGTATCAGCTGTACGTTAAACACTGAGTGAGTTCTCTTCTCTGGACTACTTACTAAACCTTGCTTATTGTTAATCTGTATTGCACTCATTTTGCCTTTGAAACCAGTTTCTAATTCAGAAATGCACAGCTCTTGATCTGTCTCTCAGTTGCAGGGAGGGACCTTGGGGCAGCTCAAGTTTCATAAAGAGTAAACTTCCAGTGTCCTCAGGAGGTTTTGAGGAACACCTACCGCATTGCACAGCCCAGCCCAGTTTTTTTTTTTTTTTTTTTTTAGTTACTTATTTTTAGTTGTTTATTATTTGTTAACAAGCACAGTTTAAGGTGCAACTGGTCAGCCATCAGAACCAGAAGCTGACAACGCCTGCAAGACTTGGTTTGCAGACTGACGCTTCTCCCTGGTCATGGGATCATAGAATGGCCTGGGTTGAAAAGGACCATAACGATCATCTGGCTTCACCCCCCTGCTATGTGCATTTTCCTTGAGACGACAGAAACGGCGGAAGGTGCTGAACTCGGCCTCGATTCCCAGGCTTCCCGACGTAGATTTGTGCGAGTACATCCAGCCAACCGATCCGTCTCTGTCCCAGCTCTTAAAAAGAGGAACGGCAAGGAAGGCATCTCCTCCCTGCCCACCTACTGCCGAGCACCGGGTAACGAGCAGGGCGAAGAGAGACGGCACAGCGTACAACCATCCATTTAAGGCAGCAGCTGCCCCTACGTTAATTCATTACCTCACGCTCCGTGGGAGGCGGGAGCGGTCGCCAGCTGGACAGCCCGTCTGTCCTATGGGGACGAGCGGCAGAGGAGGGCGAGTAGGCGGTGCCGGGCGCTCGCCAATGCCGCTGCCGGGAGGGCAGGAGCCTGGCTGAGCCGCCGCGCCAGCTCGGGGTTGGCTGCTGATCGCGTCAGAGTCGGGGCGAGAGTCAGGTTGGGCTGGCAGGAGCTGTCGCTCCCTCGGTGAGCCGGTGGTAAGTGGACTGAGGCAGGGTCGCTTCCTAAGTCCCTCTTTTATGTTCTTTTTCCTTTTTTTTTTTGAGCTGTCACGCTTGGCTGGTGGATCTTGTCCTCTCGCCCCGTGTCGGCGCGCTGGCTGATCATTTACATTCGGTCAGCGCAGCCCTACGGGGAGGCTTTTGGTTGTGTGCGTGTGCCGTGCCCCGGTGGGAGCGGAGCTCTCCCCGCACCGCAGCGGGTTGCGCAGCGCTGCGCTCCTTGCTGCCGTTATGTAACGGTCTCGGGGGGCTGTGACAAGACGGCGGTTGCTTCTCCTTGCAGGCGTAGCGCGTTACCATCGCTCCCTCCTCTCCCCCTCCTCCCCCCTCCTTGTGTTTTCTTCTGTTCTCCCCGCGACCCCACGCCGTGGAGGGGCGAGGAGAGGGGCTCTATGCGAAGCTGCGTTTATTCCCTTTGCCCTCCGGTTAGGATGGGGCCTCCAAGCAGGCGCATCTTCAGGGGGTTCCCGCAGCCGCACGGGAGTGGAAAAGCGCAGCAGCAGCCCGTCCGACGGAGGATGGGATTGCTGTCCGGATCCCGAGGACGCTGCGCTCACAGCTGGGTGGAAGGACAGCGCTGTCGGCTTCCCGTGGGTAGCTGGCTAGCTCAGGTCTGAGTGCACGCATCTATCTCCTGAAGGCGCCAGGAGAAAGCAGACGAGTAAATTGCTGTTCGACTGTGCTTTGGAGCCGATGTTATATTGAAGACAGCAGTAAAACCTCATCCCCTGCAGTTGCCTTTTCTGCATTCTTGCGTAGAGCAAGTGATCCACCGCTTTTGTGGAGATCGGTAAAGGACTTGTGTTTGCTTTTTTCAAAATGCCCAAGGGGCTTTGCTGAGAACTACCTCTATGTGGTGTCCTCCGTGTAAAACAGCATCTGGGCTAGGAGGCTGTTTACGGACTGCAGCATAACAACCTGTAGGTATAGAGCTGAGTGTAGGATTCCAGGGTAAAAAACTGGATGCAGCAGCATAACGTGAATTAATCAGTTCTCTTTAGCCTCGGTGAAATAACTTTAAAATGGATAAAAACAACGCCAGCAAATCAGCAGTGGTTGCAAGTATGTCTTCAATCCTGGTTAGTCACATGGTTGAATTATTCATCAGAGAAATTGGGTATCTGCTGGAAGATGCTGAACGCTTACATGAAAAGTATCTTGAAGGCTGACAGCTTTGAATCTTGCAGTAGGTGCTGCTAACAAGCAGTTTACCTATTGACATAGGCAGGTGTGTGGTGGGGAAATTCTTACTGACAGAGGCTTGCATAACTGCTTTTTTTTTAAAAAAAAAAATAAATAAATAAAAAAAAAATAAAAAAAAATAAAGAGGTCAGAATCAGCCCCTACCCGAAATGAAACGCAGACAAGTTTGAATTGTATGAAGCAGTAAATGGGTGCATTTTCACTCACTTTTATTGAGCCTTCACGCTATTTTCTCAGCTAGTATAATTAGCCTGCTTTTAGAGTGCTTAGAAAGCTGACAAGTGATAGCATGATAATGGAGCACAGAGGACTGGAGACTTGTTTTTTTCTTTCCTCTTTTCAGCTAGAGCTGTGAAAATGTGGAGGAAAAAATGGGAAGATATGCTCTCTTAGTCTCAGGCTTAAATTAACGTGATTGTTTATCAGATGTATACTGTGTATATATATAGTCCTAAAATGGCAATGGCTTTTTTTAATCCTTTAGTGACGAGTCACTTTCTTTTCAAATTGTTATTTACAGATCCTTCCCTTTCACAGCCTTCCTATTCCCAAAACCTAAATAAAATGCTATATTGAATGCTTTTATCTCTTGGGTTACAGTCATATACCTGCAAGCAGTCCATTACTTACAACTGTTGGAGCGTTTGCCTGTTATTAGATCACAGTACAGTGCAGTGCTTGGGCAACGTGCCATGCAAGGATCAAATGTCAGATAAAGCTCATGTGAGAATCTCCCGCAGTGTATACATTTCTCCCTTGTAAATAAATGGGAATGCTCGTCTAGTAAGTAGTTACCTAATTAAAGCTGTGCATTGGCTGTGGTTTAAAAAAAAAAAAAAAAAAAAGCTCCATTTACTTACTGTCAGGAGCTGTATATAAGAGGTTGGTTTTTATTTCCTATACCTTGAGATTAACTTTAAAAAAAAAAAAAAAAAAAAGGGAAGGGAAGGAGCAGTGTTGACTGATGTTAAAGTAAATGTATTCTTAGTGTATGCAGAGATGATGAGTTGTACTTACTGCAGCTAGGAGTGCTTTATAGAATAAGCCATATGACATTTAAATTTGGTAACTTTCTCTTGATGTTAAGCTAAGATACAAATTAAAATAAGTCATAAGATATATTTCATGCCATATATATATATATACATATATAAATAATGGAAGTTTTTAGTGTGAGAATGTGATTGTACTCATAAGCCTGTATTGCTCCAGACAGGAAAAGCTTGTTGCAAGAATGGTCTTTCTTCTGGTGTAGTTACTTCGTTGCTGTTTCTACTTGTGTATTTATGCCCTTGCATAAATTAAATGAACTCTTTTCAGCAAATGACAAGCAGGGTGTTTTTTCTTTCTAGAGACAACTTCTATGCTCTGCTTAAATAAAAATAAATGCAAGTGTACAATCTTTGCCCCTAGTGCTTTTTTTGCCATACTGACATAAATATTGGATTTCAGAAGCTTTAAAAAGTAACTAAGATCAGTTTTGCTATATACACATTTAAGTGTCTAGGACTGATAAATTCTTGTATTTCTCTGCTTCTCAGTGGGGAAGTTCTCTGTGCAATTAAGGAAAAGTCTTCTCTGTGAAGAGAATAAGTTGTGTACTGTACCTGGCTTTAAATGCTTTTAGATATCCCTGCCAGTTAGTTGAAAGGAGATCTTTGCTTATAATTTGTATTGCCATTGTGTCTGGGAGCTGTGATCAGGGACGTCAACTGTTGTATGACAATAAAACTATTGAACATGAACTTGGGTCTGGCCTCCAGAATATGATGATCTAAAACATGGAACAAAATGCTCTTAGTAGTAGAAAAAAAAGGAATGCAGCTGTTAGGATGCATGGGTTTATGTATTTTATCTATATTTTTATCTACGTGTTTTATCTTACATTTTAGAGCAAGGGAAATGGTCAGACTTAACGTAAGGTTCACACAGTTGTCTCCAAGAGTCCCCTGGGATACCAGAGCATCTTTCAGACATGTGACGCATGGTTTGGTTTTGAGAGGATTTTTTAATATATTTAACTTGACAAAAATTACTTAAAACAAACAAAAAAAAGCCTACATTGACCCAATTTGAAAATTTTTCTCTTTAGGCAACTTAATTTTTACCTTAAATTTAAGGTCAGGAGTTTTTCTTTGATTTTCTTTTAAAACTGAGTTTTCATTTCAGGGTCAAAGCACAATGCAGGGAAAATCATACTGCCTTTTCCCAAGTATTTCCTGTGAACTGTTCTTGTTCCTTCCTCTCGATTCCCTCACGTGCCCAAATCAACAAAAACTGTAGAGCAACAAATATACCTTCAATAGGAAGAGGCCTTCTCCATATCTTTTCTTGGATTAGTAGAAGATGCTGAGAGTATGCAGATCCAAAATTAATAGTATTACTATTTTCTGAATTCGCAATACAGCTGTCTTAAATAGTTTTATGATGTTAATTCTGGCCCAGTTTGGCTAATATCAAGCATATACTTTTCAGTGTACAAATATTAGAATATTAGGCAGAATGAGTACAAAGAAACTTTAATATTAAGACGTAGAATTTTTTGCTTGAATCTCTGAGGGATGTATGGTCGTAGTTAAACATGTTCTTAAATGCACAGCTGAAGAGTGGCATTTGTATGGGAGTTGCTGGGTTGTAGTCTGAACCATTGATTGAGCACCAGGTGAGAATGTGGCTAATCCAGGGAGCTCGGGTGCAAGCAGGGCACCTGAATGACTGGAAGTGTGGACCCTTGCCCTCATGGGAGGGTGAACAGCATCTCTCTTCAGAGATCATGCTCTTCTCAGAGCTCACCAGCCTTTGGAAAGGGTGAGCCACTTTCCTCTCTATTGCATTCTAAACTAAATCTGAACAAACGCCTTTGTAAGTGGGATTCTATCCTAGTAGAATGTGTTATCATAGCTCCCGTTGCTCCACGGTGTGATTTGATTAGTACTGCAGAAATTCTTACAGTGGAAACTCAAAAGTGAAGAAATCATGTTTACGAAAGCATTCTTTTCTTGTTGATGACTGCTCATTTTTAAATTAAAACCAAATCAGACTGTCCGTCTCGTCCAGTTTTGCTATCAGAAGAAGCAGTACTTGGAACAACTCATGGGAACTTAGAGATGTGAGAGAACTTACTGATGATTTAACAGCAGAAGTGTTCACCTGTTCTGAGTTGTGGCTATATGAAAAAAATACAGACTTAAAGGATAGTTTATTTATTTGGATTTGTATAATGCTGAAGAAGCAGACTTTGTCTAAAGAATCTCTTGTGTTCTCAGTCTAATCTGAGTCTCATACAGGTTATTTTCAGTTAGCTGCTTGAGACTAATTACTTAGATTTGAGAAAAAGGCAAACTGAAGAGGTACTTCATTCAGTACATCTTTAATATTAAATGAAGTGGAATGTGCAGGAATGTGCAGGATGTGGATTATTTGCAGCTGTTTTTGAAAGTTACCTGTAGCATTTCCACTTGTTGATTGTTTCTGCCAAAGTTTTCTTTCTAGTTTAAATTAGCGTGAACTGTTGAGGGTTTTTTTTTTTTTTTGGTATCTTAGACAATAAAGAGCCATTTTGTTAATAATGCAGTTTCTGTACAAGAGTAGTTGTACACCTTATTTAAGGGGTTTCTTTCCCCTGACACATTACCTTTATAGAATTTATTAACTATCTCTTATACGATGTCTCCTTCTGTTATTTTGTAGTTCTTGCACCATCTTCCATTCCCTGATCATAGCTGATGTTTTGTGGCTTTTAAGTCTGAGTACTTTCAAGCCCTATAATTTTGTTCTACTTTTTTTCTGATTGAAATTTTATCCTTGTCAATACCATCAACTTGGCTTTCTTGACATTTTTTACCTATTTATTTATACAGAGCTCCCCATCTTACTATTCTTTGAAGTGATCTTCCAACTGTATGTCTCTGATCTCCTTCATGGAGCAGATCTTTATGACTTGGGGTTTTTACATACATACTTTGAAAAGGTCCTGTTGAAGTTCAAATTATTATTCTTGTTTGGATGATAGTGATGGGAAGAGATGATGGATAGTTTGTAAAGAACTATGTATATAGTATAATTTCACAGTTGTGGAGCTAGCTTATGCAAGTTAGAGGACTTGTGCTCAACTAATCTTACAGTGAAAATAGGTTCAACGTGTTCTTTGGAGATAGAAGTTATACAGCTGACTCCTGGGGAAGTAGCTGTTGTTTTTGAGTCTTTCTGGATTTGTGATTCCCAAGTATTTTCTTGATATGCTGTAAAAAATTATGTTGTCTAACAGTGTGAGTATCTCTTTCAGCCTTTTGAGAAGTGTCATACTTTGTTCTGTGAAAACTGTTCTAGATACTATCTTGTATCCTTGCATATGTGTCCTAATTATTTCTTCATTTGATGAGTGGCAGCTCAGCAGAACTAAGGATGAATACTCGAGTGGGATCTTCATATGGGATACAGTTGGGTATGGAGATTGGGGTAAGGGGGGAGGGAAATGGAGAGATGTAGTAGTTTATCTGTGCATTAATATCTGAACAATGCCTGTATTGATGCTGCTTCCTTCGTAGATGAAGCATTATGTAAAGGATGTGGTGGTGGGATATGGTGGGTGTTTTGTTGAACTATTTATGAGTAATTTAGGGAGACAAAAAAAATCTGTGTAACAGTGTTGTCATGTGAAATGTGTTTTAAAAAGGTTCTGTTAGAACTGTTACCAAGAAAATAGTTTGTGTATATGCATATAGATGCTTTATGTATCTAAGTATAAAGTGGTATTTTATGAAGGTATTCTCTGGAATGGAGAAATGTAATACACTACAAACGTAAACTTAATTTTTTCAGTATTTGATGATATTTAAGCAGTAATTACATAAGCAGATAGTGATGGCTTCAGAAAAGGAATGGTAACAGCCGCTTGTCTGTAGACAAAGTAATGTTTGTGCTTGACTGTGTTCTCTAAGGCTTTTCTTAGTGGAGTATTTAACATCAGTCTGTGTCTTGGTTTCAGCTGAGAGGCAGTGTTAATAGTACATTGGTTGCTGGTGAGTGATGGGCGCCTGCCTGACGTCAGGCCAGGCCACGTGGTGGGGAAGAGCCACTGCCTATTTGGTGCAGTGACGGGCTTGAGACAGGGCAGAACCAGGACAGCTGACCTGAATATGGCACAAAGTTCTTCCGTAACACATGACATCATGTGGAAGGCTGTGTAGCAGTAGAGAATTCATAGAAGCATAGAAGAATTAAGGTTGGAAAAAATCCTCTAAGATCATCTCATAAAACCATCAACCCAGAACCACCATGCCTACTAAACCGTGTTCCTAAGTGCCCTATCTACCCTTTTCTGGAAAACCTCCAGGGACCGGGATTTTACCACTTCCCTGGGCAGCCTGTTACAATACCTCACCAATCTTTCAGGTTGTACAGAGCAGTAAGTTACCCCACGCAGCCTTTTCTAAACTTTATTCCCTCAGCTGCTCCTCTTTTTTTTTTTTTTTTTTTCTTTGCATGCACTCCAAGGCCTCAATGTCTTTCTTGTAGTGAGGGGCCCAGAGCTGAGCACAGCACTTGAGGTGTGGACTCACAGTGCCAAGTACGGGGAGATGATCACCTCCCTGGTGCTGCTGATTACACTGTTACAAGGCAGGATGCCATTGCCCCCCTTGCTCACCTGGGCACATGGCTGGCTCAGTTCATCCAGCTGTCAGGGCACCCCCAGGTCCTTTGCACAGCTTTCCAGCCACTCTGCTCCAAGCTGGCAGTGATGCACGGGTGCATGAGGTTGTTGTGACTAAAGAGTAGGACTCAGCACTTGATCTTGTCAAGCTCGTGCAGTTGGCCTCAGCCCACTGATGCAGCCTATCCACATCCCTCTGTAGGGCCTTCCCACCCTCACGCAGATTCCCAACTTCCTCCCGACTTGATGTCATCTGCAAACGTACTGCGGATGGACTCAATCCCCTCAGTTCAGGTAATCTGTAAAGATATTAAGCAGAGCTGACCCCAATTCTGACTCATGGGTAACACCACTAGTGTTGCTGGCTGGATTCAGCTCTATTCGCCACCACGCTCTGGGCCCAGCAGCCAGGTTTTTTCTTAGCAAAGAGTACACTTGTGCAAGCTTCTCCAGGAGAATACTGTGGGAAACAGAGTCAAAGGCCTTACTGAAGTCTAGGTAGACTACATCCATAGCCTTTCCCTCATCCACCAGTCAGGTCTCTTGGTCACAGAAGGATATTGTGTTGATCATGCAGGATCTGCCTTTCATGAACCCATGCTGGCAAGGTGTAATTGCATGGTTGTCCCATACAGGCTGTGTGATTACACTGAAAATGATCTGCTCCATGACCTTCCTGGATACCAAAGTCAGGCTGATGGACCTGCAGTTCCTCAGATCCTCCTTCAACCCTTCTTTAGATCAGCGTAGAACTGGCAAGTCCCAGTCATCTGGGATCTCTCCAGTTGGACAGGATTGATGATAGAAGATGGAAAGAGTTTGTGCAATCACTCCTACCAGCTTCCTCAGTACTCTCAAGCAGATCCTATCTGGCCCCGTGGACTTGTGGCAGTGGGGTTTATTCTGCTCCCCATCCATGTCTTCTAGCTTAGAGGTCTGAATACCCTGAGGATGACTGGTCTGATTACTAAAGACAGAAGCAAAGAAGGCACTGAGAACCTCAGTGTTATCGTTGGTGGTTTTATTACCCGCTGCAGCCAATAAAGGCAGGAAATTCTCCTCAGCCCTCCTCTTGCAGTTAATGTGTTTATGAAAACATTTTTTTATCTTTAAGAGTAGTGGCCAGATAAAGTTCTTGTTGGGCTTTCTCCTTTCTGATTTCCTCTCTGTATCCAAGCAACATCATTCTATTCCTCTGGAGCTGCCTGACCCTTCTCTGTAAGATGATAAACTGTTGTGGTTTTTTTTTTTTCTTTTCTCCTCAGAGGCTCAGTGAAAGTTCTCTGTTCAACCAGGCTGGCTGTCTTCTCTGCCAGCACATCTTCTGGCACACAGGGACAGCCTGTTCCTGTGCCTTAAAGACTTCCTTCCTGAGTGATATTCAGCCTTTCTGTACCCTTTTTCCCTTCAAGACTGACTCCCAAGGAATTCTCTTAGCTAATGTCCCAAACAGCTATTGCTCTTACACCTAATCTAGGCATGCTTTCCTTAGGCTGATCTCCAGTGAGCCTGGTTTTATCCCCTTCTCCATTCAAACCTAGTTTACAGTCCTGTCAACAGGGTCTACTAACTCCTGGGCTAAAATCCTTTTTCCCAGTTTGAGATAGGTAGAGCCATCTATTGCCAGCAAATCTGGTTCCAAATAATGATCAAAAAACCAGAATTCCTCCAATGAAACCAACCTCTTAGCCATGTGTTGATCAGGTGGGTTTTCCTGTTTCTCTTAGTATTCTTCCATGCTACTGAAAGGATCAAAGCAAAGATCACCTGAGCTCCTGCTCCTTCAAGAAAACCACCCCAGTGCTCTCAAGTTCCTCTTGACAGCCCGCAGGCTTCTCCTCGAGACTGTATCTGCCAACCTGAACTGCCAGAATCGGGTAGTCATTGCAGGGCAATAGTAGGCTAGGGAGCTTCCTGGCAATATCCTGGGCCCCAGAGAGGCAGTAGACTTCCTTGTGGATAGGATCTGGTCAGCATATCAGGCCCTCTGTTTCCCATAGAAGGGAGGTGCCTATGGCAATTACCTTGTTTTGTTCTTGGCAGAGGCAGTGGGAGTGGCTGACTCACCCTAGGCAACCCTATGGATGGACCTTCATCAGCATACTCATTTGCCTGTCCTTCATGTTCCAGAACTTCATACCTATTGTGCAAGGGGACCTGGGAAGGTGAGGTAGGCTGGGAGGCAATTGCCTGCCACCCCAAAGAGGGACCCGTTTCCACTCTTGTCTCTTAGGCCCCTTCCTTCTGCCTGATGGTGATAGCCTAGGGGATCCACTACTGCTGGTGGAGTATCCCTCTCCACGGAAAGAAACCCCTGCAGGTTTCTTTCATGCAGGGTTGGCAGAGTGTGGCTGTCTCTCTTTCACAGTCTCTGAGTTGGCTGCAGGCTCGCTGCTGCTTGGGGGCTGGCTGGATGTTATTTGGCACGTGGTGTGATACTGGGTTTGTAGTAGGGTATCAGTTGGTGGGCACTTGTATTGTTAGCTGCAGTTGGTCGAAGGATGGTGAGTAATTGAGTTGTGGATATACACACATAAATATAATTTGTTTCTTTGAATTTAATAATACTGATACTTATTGCTTCATACATATGAAAATAGTACTTTGACAACTGCACACGTTCAGGTATCACTCCTGAAGTTATTTGCGTGAGTTTTGAGGTTCATTTTAAAATTTAGAACTGTACCAATAGGTATTAATTGGTTTTTATATGTAGATAAAACATCTGTACCAGAACAACAAAATTGAACTAAATGTTGGCTGGAAGGTTCAACCTCTACTGCCATACCACCGACGTGAGCCTTTGATGCCACAGGCCAGCATAACTTTTGGAGCAGCCCTTGTGTGTGTGTATTTCCTTTTTTTTTTTTTTTTTTTTTAAATTTGTCTTAGTAAATAGATTTTTGTCTCAGTTCAATTCTCTTCATTTTTGTTTCCAGTTTTCTCCTTTTACCCACTTGGTGGAGAAGGAGGTAACGAGTAAGCAGCTGAGTGATGCTTAGCTGCCTGCCAGGTTAATCTGGCAGTCTGACATATTGTTTTGTGAAGATAAGTGTGTTTTGTGTTTCCAGCTGAAGTTCTTAATGCAGCTTCATGATATAGGGAATCCTGTCCATAGCATGAAATACATATATACTGTTAAAGAGAACTCATGGTTTGGTAATATGGTTACTCATTAAGCCTGTAAGAGGATTTAATTATATCTAAGTGAAGGTAAGTAAAATAGAGTTTTTGGCTATGCTTGGTCTTTAGTGCTTACTGCTTGTCTCTTCAGTACTAGGGAAAATGGGTGGTTCATTGTCATGTCTGCAGAAATATGCCAAAGCAGAATTAGAAGAGTGAACTCTGATTGCTACTGATAGACGTGAAGGAAGTTTAAGCCTTAACATTATGTAAAACACTGCACCTTATTAATAGGCAGTTTTATTACTCTGGCTGTTTATTTCTTCCCTCAGCTTGAATGTTTATACAAAAATGTGGGAAAAAGATTCCATCTGCTGCACTTTCATTGCTGTTTTCATTTGGCATAAATAGTTACAGATAAAAAATAAATGAGAATTCCCTTTAAGTCATTTTTAAATAATGAGGAAGATAGAACAAATGCTGAGATAAAACAGATGCAGTCATATAAATTCAGATGGTTTACAGAGTTTGATAACATTTACAAATCCAATTTATTCATATAAAGATTGCAACTCTTTAAATATTTTAAAAATTGAACTGAATGGGATATCTTCACAAACTTTGTATGATATGTTTCTGTGGTATGCTGCATAAGTGTCATCACTATTACAGTAACAGATCCTGATAAAAAGTATGCCTTAAGCAATTGCATGCTTACCAACAATATGTGCAGGAAGTGATAACAGGAGGATGGAAGTGAAAACAGGTAGAAGTTAACATAAAGCTGTTGTGTGCCTGTGGACAGAATTCTTTGCAATATTTTCTAAAAGCCTTTCTAAAACCTTTCAGTTTTAAGATCATCTAAGAAATATCTTTAGGAATTCTTGTAGCTTGGGCAGCACCCAACGGGTTAGAATGTAGGTGTGGAGAGGTGTCACCTGGCAGTAAAGAGGCCAGGAAGGTTCTTTTGAGACCCCTGGCAGAACGAGGGTTGGCTGCAGGATTACGGTTTTTGATGGAGATTTACTGTTACAGAAAAAGAAATCAATAGCATAGCATACTAAGTACAATTTCTGGCACCTAGCATATCTTGTAGTTGTTCAGAATTTCTAGACTTCTGAGTTTTCAGCCACCCAGATAGACCCTCTGCAAATTGGGCCGAATTTTGACCAATCAGCTCATGATAGAATTATAAACTAGACTCAGGTTTAAGTAAAAGAACATGAGTCACTCACTCAGTTCTTGGAGGAAGAAGATGATGGTGGAGGAGTCCTGGACCACAGAGGGATCATGGTTTTGCCATCCTACAGCAGTTCCAACCTAGTCACACTTAGGGCTTGGAGCCACTTGATTTTATAAACAGTGCTCCTAGTGCTTTTTTTTTTATTTAGACATTGTAATCTGGGTGCAGAGTTTGTTGTTTTGTCCATCTAGAACTTTCCTTGTGTCCTGCAAAGTCTATCACACATTGTTCTGACCAGCAAAATAGATTTACATCCTGTGCTAAGCTGGCATCTCCTGCCATATGCCTGAAAGATGTTTGTTTAACCTGTTCTTTTTCTTATTTCACAAGGGCACGTTATCCTTCTTTCATCTCACCTTTGCCTTATCACTGTCTACCCGTGTAACAATTCAATCCCCCTCCTGCTTATTAGCTCTCCTTAAGTATTTCTAATTTTTCTTTTGTAGTTCTGTACTTAGTGCAATTTGCTGACTTTGCTAACTGAATTGCAAAGAATCTATCCAGCACATCTTTTTTTTTTAGTCCCAATTTTATTTTATAGTTCTCAACAAACCAGTAAACTTGGGGCTGCTGTTTCCTTGAGTGTTCACTAGAATGTTTGACATGATCAAAGATACTAGAAAAGCTGTGACCTTTCTGAGGTCATAGCAGAATCCGGTTTTTCTTGGCTGGCTGAACTGAAAGTTTTCCTCAGTTCATAGGACTTTTGTTGTCATCTTAACTACTTGTCATTCGGTGAATTACAGAACTGTAGGAGTTGGGATATTTTTCTTTTCTTCCACTTGCTTGGAGACACCATCCAGAATAAGCTGTTTCATCACCTTCCCGTGGAGCAGAGGTGTGTGAGGTGATTCTCCTAACTCCTCTTTCTTGCTGTACTTGAAGATTGGAATGACGTGGGCTTTACTCCAGTCCCAAGGCGCCTCTCCCATTCTCCATGACCTTTCAAAGCGCCTTGGCAGTTGCTTCTACCAGCTCTGTCAATACTCACGGGTGCATTCCATGAGTGCCTATGGATTTCTGCGCCTCAGATTTGCCTAGACGATCTGTTACTAGATAGTCCTTGACAAAGGGGAAGTCTCCCTTTCTTCAGGCTCTCTTCAGGGTCTGGGGCTCATGAGGATCAGTCTCAGCAGTGAAGACTGAAGCAAAGAAGGCATTCAGTAAGTCCGCCTTCTTAAGTGTCCTCCATAACCAGAGCACTCACCTCATTAAGCAACGTGCCCACATTTTCTATAGTTTTCCTTTTGCTATTGACATAGTGAAACTGTGATGTCCCACCTGTAATTATAGGCTTGCCTTTCGTGTTGTCCTTGATTTCCCATGCCAGATTCAATTCCACTGGGCCCTAGCTTCCTCATTGCATCCCTACATGCCCTCTTAATGTTCCTATAATTACTCCAGCTGTTCTGTGAGTTTCTGGAATCCCAACTTTGGGACCTTTTTTTGCTTTTCACAAAACCTTCTGAACTCTTAACATCTGCTTATAATTTTTCCTTAATGTCTTCTACGGCGTGCTGGATTGGAGCCAGCAATATTTGGAGGGGATGGGATAGGTGGCTAATCCCTCCTTCCCTACCTTTTTTGTCTCTGGAAATGTAGTATTGTTTAACTGCGTGCCGGGCTTTTTAAACAGCGGTGAAAAGAGTTTCTTTGTTTAACTGTTATATAGTTCATGCTTTTAAAAAAGTAACTTAATTTTGTCTAACCAGAGTTTAGAATTGATATTTTTAGAGCAGCCAGTTTCTTTGTCAGTTCAACAAGAAAAGGAGTATATCCATGAACCTTCTCTAGCCACAGGGAAAAAGTACACCACCAGTTTTGATCTGCCTTGACTTTCTACTTTTGCTAGCGAAGATTTCTTTGAAATGAGACCGCTGTGAATATCAGACATCTTCATTTAAATTGGAAGCCTTTTTTATGTCCTGTTGTTCCTCTCTTCATGTTGCCCAGAACTCCTCAAAATACACCAGTGCTGTTATTGATGTCTGAAGGAACTAACTGTAGAAGTAAACTACCTTAAGGCCTAATACTTTCATTAACTTCCTCGTAGCATTTTTTTCCTGCGTGAAGTTTGTAAACTTTTAATTTGTAGAGGGGCCTTGACTTCCTGGCCATGGTTTTCTAGATGCAGCACAGGATATGGTTGGTGTTCCAGGCTGTGAGGGCACGTTACCGGCTGATCTAGACATGGTTTTGAGAAAACAGATATCTGTAATGGTTGTACTAGCTTAAGTTTTACTGTAAGTAAATTAATTGTTGTTTCACTGCTGGGAACTTTCGGAAGAGTTTAAGGTAAAATTACTGTTCTTTGCAGGACAGGTAGGGCACAAAGGAAGTAGAAATGGGAGTTGGTTAAATGCTTAACTTTTTAATGAGCTTCTAATTTTCAATTTTTGGCCAGTGAACTTCTTTTTATTATTTCATAGGTACACATGTAAATCTCAGGTTAGACTTAATAAATTTCAGTCATCTTAATTTTTGAATTTGGTGTTTGATTTGTTCCAGTTCTTATGCAAGCAGTGTAAACAAAAGAGGATTAAGATATAACAAGATTTTTTAAAAATTTACTTGACCATATTCAGAACATGCAGTACAGCTTTGGCCATGCTGCGTTTGTCCAATTTTGAAGGACAAAGGCATTTTAGTATAGTTCTGATTAAAAAGTTGTTTCTAATGATGCTTTAAAAGTCTCATCTCTAGAAATTCAGAATGCTCATCGGACTGTTGTCTCTCCTATTTTCACAGCAGTTTTCTTGTCAGTATAAGTTGATCATACTTCCTGAAGTATGGGTTTGTGGTTGTTGTTGATGGTGTCAGGATAAAAATGGAATTCCCTGGAATTTCCCTGGTCCAGTTAGAATGTACCATTGCCAGATTGGAGAGATCATAATGAGAGTTTGCTGGGGATTAAATTAAGATAGACTGTTCAAGGAAATTATTTCACTATTATATTCTGAAAAAAGAGAATTAGGTCTAAAGGAGCAGGATTGAATATTGGAGTTATTGCTACAGAACTTTATTTTTTATGTGTGTAAGGTGTAAGACTAACTTGAAGTGTGATGATCTAGAGTTCATCATGGAATTTTGTCTGGTCTGACCATTTCAAGTTACAGCTAGAGATTATGAATGTGAAGGTTTCTCCTTCAGGAGCTGGTTGGCCTCATTCTTAATCACTGGTGCATAATAACTATTTATGGCTGGTTCTGCAAAGTGCAGAAAAGAATAAGCCTTGGTTGCTCAAGCAACAGAGGCTAAGCAGTACTGGAAGAGGCACAAGTCTAAAATTGTTTCCATTATTGATGAGTTTGTAATCAAAATACAGTATATAAGCTAAAATTTCCCATCCGATGCAACAATTAAATGTTAACTAGAAATCCCTATCAGTCGTTGAATATGTTACCCACTTTACCTTGTACTGCTGTGATTTCAGAAGGATGGGGAGGATAAGTATGGTGGGCTTTTTTGCTCTTATGCCAGTATTTGCCAGAGTTCTGATACTTGCAGCACTTATTTATGGATTAAAATTTCTAGCAGCACCACAGATCTGTGTGTGAGCAGATGTAGTTACTGGGACAGGCACAGGGTGCACCCTGTCCATAGGCTTCTCAGGGTTTTTCCCAAGCAAATAGTGGATGGACAGAAGGCACGTCCCTTCTCAGTGCTCCTGCATTCTGGACATGTTAATTCTAAAGGAATTTTATGGCTATAATTCTCTGAGCAAGAACTTGAGAAATTTTGGAGAGTTTTTTCCAAGTATTTCTGAGGCTTCCTTAGTTGTTGTCTCTTTAAAGCATGAATATTTTTGCATTTTTCAATTATTAAAAAAAAAGGGGGGGGGAGGGGGAATCCAAAGGCTAGAGTATAAGGGACTTTTATATTTTATATATAAAATATATAAAGGACTTTTTATTTTTTGGGAAAAAAAAAAGGATAGTAATGCCTATAATGTAGAAGACACTCAAGTCAGTAGAACAACTGTGATGAATTCATGTTGTCATTAAAATTCAACTTGTCATTAAAAAAAGAAGCAAAGAGTAAGTGTTCTCCTGTTGTCTGCTGTAAAGATGGTGAAACTAGGTTTGTGCCCTGTTTTGGAGTGTCATTTTCCTGCTTCAGTTGTTCAGTGAAGGGCACTGAGTTCTTAGATCTTCATGGATCACTTACTCCTGTGTTATGACATGTCAGACAGTAGGCTGTAGTTTAACAGAGAGTAAACTCTATTGCAAATTAAGGTAACAAAGTTTATCTTCCTCTTCCTCGTAGCACAATGGCTGACAATAAAGCAAAGCCGACCAAACCTGCAAATAAGACTCCTCCAAGGTCTCCTTCAGATCCAACTAAGGACCGAGCTGCAAAACGATTATCCTGTGATTCAAATAGCTCCCATGAGGGAGCTGTGGCAGGAGAAATAAGTGCTCTGGAAGAGGCCTTTAGAAAATTTGCTATCCATGGTGATACAAGAGCCACAGGAAAAGAAATGCATGGGAAGAACTGGTCTAAGCTGTGTAAGGACTGTCAGGTGATAGATGGGAAGAATGTGACAATCACAGATGTTGACATTGTCTTCAGTAAAATCAAGTAAGTTCCTTTCTGCTATTGTTTCTTTGTCTCTCCAGTATGTTTTGTGGATAACCATCTAAATTTGATTCCTCAAGGACTTTGAGTCACTATGCCTTTGTCACAGTCTCTTTAAATGCTCCTCAGTGAAGCTGCTGCATTCAGATTCTGCCTGCTACATTAAACTGACTTCAGCATAGCAGGTGTTGAAGAGTAATGCGGTGCAGAGAGATGGAATAACCTGTATCTGTCTTTATGTCCTAATCAAACTTCTTTTTTAAACTACAGTAAGTGCTGTGAATGTTTCCTGAACAATATCTGAATGAAGTCAGGATATAGTCTTAAATCTTGACAAAATTCAGCCTCAAAGAACTGAGGCTAAGGTGGGTTATATACTAAGGTCTTTTTCCATGCATAGTCTTTATATCCAGCAAAACAGCTGCTTGTATTTAAAGTGCAGGGTACTGGTCACACCAAACTGGTTTTTTTTTTTTTCCTTTATGATGTATGATGCTGGCATTTATTTTTAGAATTTCTTTAGCTTTTCTCAACTTCAATTCTCTTTCATTACAGGAAATAATAAAATCTTGATACTACTTTCTCATATTGGTGTCTGGGCAAGTTAATGATAGGGCGACTCTGTGATAATTAGCTGATTTAAAGAAGTATCTGTTGTGATGCCTGCTAGGGGAAAAATGAATCCAGTTCTATTATGCAGGATTCAATTGTGAGGTGGCAGAGACTTAAAGCTGAAGAAGGACATCAGTGCATCACACTGCTATTGATCAGCAGTCTCTGCTTAGCTCAGGGTTTCTTGTCTGCTTCTGTGAAGTGAGCCTGTTCAGCATTTTCTCAGGCTGCTGTTGAGTGGACATTTTCAGAAGAGAGATGCTATCTTTCCCCTCTCCCTCCTTTATTTAGCAGTTGGAATACTTTTGCATTTGTTGCAGTTACCTTAAACAAGTTACCTTGTTTATTACTTACTCTTTTCTTATTTGCATATATATCATGTATTTTAAAACTGCTTTTCCTTTCTTTCTCTTTTGTTTCAGATTTAACCTAAGCTAAAGGTTAACAATAAATTTGGAGTGCATCAAGAAAGGTCTACTCAGTATATAAACTCCTTGCTTATCTTACAATGAAATATTTCCCAACAGAGCACAAGGGTGGTTTTTGTGTTGTTTTTGTTTGACAATTCACGTTTTGTTTTATTTTTTTTAGTGTCCTTGTTGAATGGAAAACATTAAACACTGTAAAAGAGTTTCCAGCACCTCAGAAACTGCAGTGTACTTTTCTCATGCCAAATGAAAGAGTTAAGTTTTTGGGTATCTAAACCCTGCTGCTTTTATGTTCACCAGCTTTGCTCTTATCTCACAAAGACAGACTTTGACCTGTGATTCTGATAGCCATCCATAGAGATGGATGGTGTTGGTGGCTACTGGAAGTTGGCCAGGGAACACAGTCCATATACTAGAAGAAAAGTTTTGTTGCATAAGATTACAGTTGCGTCTGGCCGAACAAATTTTCTGTCAGGTCTTTGACTGGGAAATGAGTGCATTTAGCAGAGTTTGTTTTCTAGCCAGCAATGCCTGTAGTGAATGACAATGGCAAGCTTTGTCAGAATACTAGAAAGTAAGTACTGTCTCTGAGTATGAGGTCCCTGTTTGCCATCTTGCTAACTTTCTCAGGATTGATTTATTGTTCTGCTACAGATGCTTTATTTATTTATTTTTAATATTTTAGCTTAACTGTTATACTTGAAAACAAGTTAAGTTGCAATTATATTCTATGAGAAGAAAACATTTTACAAATTACTGGGTTTTGAAGTTTTAATGACAGGACCAGAAATATTATTTCACTTTTTTACAACTTCAGCTCAGGCTTTCTGGTAAAGTGTGGAGGTTAATATAGATATCTTAGTTTTAGCTTACTCCAATAATTTTTTTCCACTTCCAGTACTTATTATTGTATATTGACATCTGTCCTTTGTATTTGACATGTTAAGAGTGGTAATGCATTTTGGGTATACTGAGCTTAGTGGCATGCAACTTGTGGATATGCAGTAGTATTTAGAAATAAATGGTTTTCATGGGAGAGGGAATTCCATGGTTATCCTTTCACTAGCTGAAACAACTGCCTGTTTTCTTGGAATTTTTGTATATTAACTGACTTGTTTCTTTTATGCAACTCTTCCAGCGTTGCAAAAGTTTATTGGTCATGCTTCTTTTAGTGTGCTTGCAAGATGGGTTGAGTGAATCTTACTGCCTTAGAGAAAGCAATCTCATTGGTGACACAGGAAAAGGGCACATAAATGTTCTGCATTTAGTATGAAAAATGCGTCTGCATTCTTGTTAATCCTGCAAGACTGAGAGGCACAACACAACAGTCTAGGAACTTGAGGGTTTTTTGTATTAAGGAAAGCAGAATATCTAATAATAGGTGTTACTGATCTCTGACCAGCAGTCTGGCATGTTGTTCTAGGAACTTAAATTTCTTTGTTGAGGTCAACAACTGCGCTCAGGAATGTGGTATGTTAGCTATGCCATACACATACTTCATTTGTTGTATGTAGTTAATATGGTAATAGCCACGACATAAATGCCTCTGCTGTTATTTTAGAAGTGTTATCACTCAGTACTACAAGAGAATGCTTTAAGCACTGCCATAAAACTGTTAATTCTATGATATTATTAGACAGAAAAATCAAAATATTTCTGTTTATACTGACATGTTGCTATGGTTGCAGGCAGGCCTGGGTGACATCAGGGCTTGGATCCATTATGAGCATTTATTTAGGTAGTTGTCTCCATGGTAACATTTGTTTGTTTTGATGTTACCATGTGTTAAATCTTAAACAAATTTTTGCAGTTCTATACAGGATTGTTATTGAAAGCTGTTTAATCTACAGAAGCTTTACAAATATACCATACTCTCCACCCTTTAAAAATATTTTTGGTGAAAGATCAAATGAAAGCATAATTGTCCTCTGAGATTCCATTAATAGTTTCTTATGTTGCTTTGACATGTTTTCTTGTTGCTGAGGAAGCCATGTATTCTGAAGGCCAGAAAACACTCCTCCATCTTTTCGAGAAAGGAAGTTTTTGTTCCCATGGAGAATCCTCACAACAATTTTCATGTGCCCTGAACAGTTCCACTCATACTCTATATTTAGTGCATCTTGCAGAGTCAGCTGTTTAGCCTAGTTCCCACACTCTGGATCTGTCAAGTCTCTACAGGAGTGCTTCCACCTGAGATCAGCCTGGACTTAGTTCAGCAGCAGTTAACCATTGCTATGAGACTGTGAAAGACTTAAAGTTGATGTTTTCACTAAGAAGCTGGCAAGATTGTGTGCCTATTTTCTTTATTTGTCAATACTCCAAAAGTAGTGCCTCCTACTTATTTCCGTAGACACTACAACAAATACAAGGAGTGCTGTATGACACTATTTGATAGAGCAAATTGTCAGCTACAAAACACTGTCTTTCAACATAGTCACCACTATTAGCTATGCATTTTTCCCAGTAAAGAACAAGAGTGTATGTGCTGTGCTTGTGCAAGTCTGCACCAGCAGAGACGACCTGTGCTTTCACAGCTGCTATGTTGACATCATTGCTGGGAAAATGTTGCCCCTGCAATCCATTCTTCGTTGACGCACACAGTTGGAAGATCCAGATGGTATGGTGAGTGTGGTAGGACAGTCCAGCCAAGATAGGCAACGTGCTTTACAGTTTTCAAACTGGTATGGGGTCCAGCATTACTGTGTTGGAAGACAACCTTTTTCTCACTCTTTGGACTGACTCTGGAAGTTCAAGCCTGCAGCTTAGCCAGCGTTGCAGTGTCTCAATCAGAGTTGATGGTTTTTCTGGCTTTCTGGAAATCCAGAAGGATCACACTTTTCCTATCCCTGAACACCAACCAAACTGTTTAAGTCTTAAGTATCATGGTGAATACTTCAGTTTTACAATGTTAGTCCTTTCGTGATTGTGGCTCAAGCTTCTAGGGATTCTTCTAAACCTTTGATGGCAAAATTGAGATAGAGGTCCTGTTGAATCCAGAAAATTTGTGATCACTTATCTGTATCAACTCTATCCTGCTGCAAACAGGCCAAGCCTATGCAGCAACATAACTTTCAGCAGATGCATTTTTCTCCTGCAAATTGTATTATTCTGCTGTATTATGGTCTTCTTTTTGTGTGTGCACCTTTGTTGCCTTTTTAACTGTCATTTCCTTTTGCCTCAGTGATTCAGACTCAGTAAGTGTGTTTGTTGCTTTAGATCAAAATTGTGAATGGAATGTTTAGCTCTTTGCAGTTCTCATTGCTATAAACTGATCTTTGCCTTTCAATCTCATGATAACAGATGAACCAAAATTTGCTGGGGTTAGTAGAGCTGACATAAGTACAAGATCTCTAACTTTTTTCTTTTGTTAAGCTTGTGAGGGTTTAAAAGATTACAGCTTTAATTTTCTGTGTTTGGACTGAGGGCTGTTGCTCTTCCAGGGAAATGCAGGTCTTCTGGGAATTGTGAGTAAGGCTTTCTAATTGGATCTCCTTTTAGGAGAAGGTTTGGACACTAAGCCCAGAAAAATCATGTATTCTCAAGAAGTTAGGTGAGTCTTTTCTGTTATTATCTGTGGGTGTGTGTACGTCCTGAGGTATTCTGGACTATTTCTTAACAGGCATAAAAGTACAAGTCTCTAGAAGAGGAATAAGCCACTATAATCTAATGAGAAGAATTAATTCCTTTGACTCTTCATCTCTGCTGACACAGCAGAGCATTGTACCACTTAGTGCCATTTGTGATCATGAGCACCAGCAGCTGCAGAGCAATGGTGATATTTGGCACCAGGCTGTGACTCCCATGACACATGACAGCACTAGCTTCATGGCCCAGATGTCTTGAATCTTTATTCTGTGCCTTTCAGCTGAAAACGCTGTTTAAAAAAAGATAGTAAACTAATGACTGAAGCAATTGTGCTGATAGTGGCTGTGTAATTTATTCTGTGCAAAAGATAGGACTGGT